TTTGCGCCTTTCATGGATCTCACTCTGTAGACCTGGCTGGCCTCGAACTCACAGAGATCTACCTGCCTGCCTCTGCCTCTCGAGGTGCTGGGATTAAAGGATGTGTACCACCACCGCACTGTCCGGCAGTGCCTCACTTTATACACACAAAAAGTAAATCAGTAAATTTTATTTTAAATGGATTTGGTATTAGTGCGAGAGGCAATAAGTAGTTCATCACCATGTTTAGTTTGACTTAAACCTTGACCCTCATAGTGAGTTTGGTAGAGGTTTTGTGACTGTGTTTATATATACTTAAGATTTTTTTCTTTTTTTAAGCAGCAGCAGCAGCATCTGGAATCAGGAGACCCACAGGATCTGAGGTGAGTTTAATATTGATTCATTGTTGCTAAAAGTATAATTCTGGCATAGGAGACTCTATCCAGGTATGTCCAAACTTCTGACATCACAACACACTGCTGTCATTCACAGAGTTCATACTTGAGAGCCATGTAATTGAGTTACAAAAAAAAGAAAAAGAAAAAGAAGGACTGGAGAGATGGCTCAGTAGCTAAGAGCACTGGCTGTTCCTTCAGAGGTCCTGAGTTCAATTCCCAGCAACCGCATGGTGGCTCACAACCATTTATAGTGGGGTCTGATGTCCTCTTCAGGCATATATAAAGGTGTACATACAGGGCTGGAGAGGTGGCTCAGAGGTTAAGAACACTGGCTGTTCTTCCAGAGGTCCTGAGTTCAATTCCCAGCAACCACATGGTGGCTCACAACCATCTGTAATGAGATCTGGTGACCTCTTTTGGCCTGCAGGCATACATGCAAACAGAACACTGTATACATAATAAATAAATAAATGAATAAATAAATAAATAAATCTTTTAAAAAAAAGGTGTACATACAGATAGAGCACTCACATACAGAAAATAAACAAATCTTAAAAAAAGAAAAACAAAATGGCAAAATATCTCAAGGTATTTTAAGTAAGTTTATGGTGTTGTGTTGGGTCATATTCAAAGTTATCTTGAGTGTATGCAGGCCATGGGTTAGACATGGCTACCATTTTCTCTTTGCTTATGTCTTGAAGAGTTAGACAAGATGAGTGTGAGTGTGTGTGTGTGTGTGTGTGTGTGTGTGTGTGTGTGTGTCTGTGTCTGTGTCTGTCTGAATACTCATTATCATACAGGCTCAATCATGTGTGAGCTGCATGGTTAATTGCTGCCAAAGATCTCAAAGTGGCACTGGGCTTGCAATCTGTGTGTTCGATACAGAAAAGACCAACAGAGGTCCTATCCCACCTATAGCCAGTAGGCTAAAGGCAACTGAGCCATTCCCTTCCTTATTGAGCCATACTGTACATTGGAGTCCTTGTAAGATAGTATCCCAAAAGCAACTGGAACTTGAGTTTATAAATTTATAATTTTCAAAGCCAATCGAGATGTATATAACTACTGAATTAAATTTATCATGCCAAATAGAATAAAAGATTAACTAACTGTGGTAGCTACTTTTGTTGCCAGGGCCTCGCTAACTGTTCTTATAACTTAACCCATTTCTAGAAATCGATACCTTGCCACATGACTCGTGGCTTACCGGCATCTTCACATGCTGCTTGTCATGGTGGCGGCTGGCAGTGTCTCCCCCACTCAGCCTTCCACTTCCCAGAATTCTCCTCTCTCCTTGTCCTGCCCATACTTCCTGCCTGGCCACTGGCCAATCAGTGTTTTGTTTATACAGAGTGATATCCATAGCACTTTCCTGTGCAGAATATCTTGGATTTGCTATCTTTTCCCCACATGGAGATGTTCTAGCCCCATTGTTTCACTCCCATACTTGTGTCAGGGTTCAGAATGCTAAACTTGCACTTTTTTCTGAGATTTCAGGTTTTTCTCTTACAATATCTTTCAAGGTTTTTGAGGTAATATATTCTTACTATTTTAGTTGTTATTATTTTTACCTGATACAGCTCAAACTCACTATTGGACTTGAACTGCTAGTCATTCCCCTCCCCCTCCCAGTAGTGACAGGGCTTATAGGTGATCACTACCACGCCCTTTTATTAAGGGCCTTGACTATTAGGTCTTAAGATTGTGGAATACTGGTTTCACTAGTCTTGTCCTCTGGATTCTAACTTGATGGATATTAATGACATGGAGAGTAACTTGGTGTTGGTTGCACTGGCATATTGACTCCTGGGAATAGCTAGTTAGAGTCTGCTCTGATGGTTTTATTCCTTTTATATTTCTGGAACTAACAATCCTTTAACTCATCCTCCCAAATGCTGGAGTTATACGTATGTACCATTACCTGGTCATATAATAATCTTAATTCTTTTGTTTTTTTCCTTTAGGTACCATTTGCCTCTGTCATGCCTGTCAAGAAAATAGGCCACCGAGGTGTTGATTCCTCTGGAGAGACTACATATAAAAAGGTAAGTCTGGACAGACTGGCTGGGACATCTTACTTTGGTAACACACCAAGGGCAATACTGTTTTCTTTTGTTGTTTGCTTTTCTTGAGATTGTGTCTCATTCTAAAACAGGGTGATCTGGAATTCACTATGTAGTTGAGGCTAGCTTTGAACTTCCTGTAGTCTTTCTTCCTCAGCCTCCCAAGGGCTTAGATTATAGGTATGAGCCACCATGTCTGGCCAGTACTGTTCTTGATACTGCTCTCCACAAACTATTCCATTTGGTTTTTCTTATTTTGTTTGTTGGTTTGTGGTTTTGTTTCGTTTGAGACAAGGTCTCTCTATTTAGTCTTGTCGGGCCTGGAATTCACTGTGTAGACCATGCTGTCTCAGACCCACAGAGATCTGCCTGTCTTTGCCTCCTGAGTGCGGGAATTAAAGGTGTGCACCACTACACCCAGCCCATTTGTTGATAGACAATGAATATAATGTAACTTGTGTTTTGAAATTAATTCACAAAGAATGAATTATTTTCTTTTTATATATGTGATTAAAGGAGACTGTTACTAATGAAAAATCTAGTGTTGGTTGATACTATCTTTTTAAAAAAAAATTTAAAAAATGGGGTCTCTCTACATAGCCCTGGCTGTCCTCAAACTCACTATGTAGGCCAGGGCAGCTCAAACTCACAGAGATCCACCTGTCTTTGCCTCCCAAGTGCTGCAATTAAAGGTATGCACTACCATGCCCAGCCATGGTTGATACTTTCATTGAGTGGAAGAAATTAGATTTCATTATTAGATAGAAATATATTGCTGAGTCCTAAAAGGCCACTTTTTCCCTTGCCACAGGAAACCTGAGTTTTTGGTTTTGTTTTGTTTTGTTTTTCCATCTTTTTGAAAATGGGTCTTTTCCATACCCCAGGCTGATCTCAGACTCACTGTAACAGGGGATGACTTTGAATTCCTGACCCTTCTTCCTTCCATCTCCCGAGTTCTCTGAGATTTACAAGCATGCACCACACCTACCTGGAGTCCTGTGTCTCCTCCTCCTTCTCCTTCTCCTCCTCCTCCTCTTCCTCTTCTTTTTTCTCCTTCTCTCCTCCTCCTCTTCCTCTTCTTCTTCTTCCTTCTCTTCCTCCTTTTCCTTCTCTCCTCCTCCTCCTTTTTGTTTTGTTTTTTTGAGACAGGGTTTCTCTGTGTAGCTTTGGAGCCTGTCCTGGAACTCACTCTGTAGCCCAGGCTGACCTTGAACTCACAGAGCTCCACCTGGCTCTGCCTCCTGAATGCTGGGATTAAAGGCATATGCCACCACCACCTGGCTTTTTCTTTTTATTTTCTTTCTTTTTTTTAAGATAGGGTCTCATAATATAGTCCGGGCTGGCCTTGTTGGATACCTTGCAGCTAGAGTTACAGGCTGCTGTGATCCCCTGTTGCGGATGCTAGGGACTGAACTCAGATCCTCTGGAAGACCAGCAACCCCTCCAGACCCAATTATCACCTCTAATACATTTTCCCTCTGAAATTTTACTGTTTTCACATTTCTCAGAGTTATCTTGATAATTTTTTCCATCTTTTTTCTTGTTTCTTTTTTTTTTGAGACAGGGTTTCTCTGTATAGACCAGGCTGTCCTAGAACTCAAGAGATTCTGCCTCCTGAGTGCTGGGACTTAAGGAGTACACTACCACCACCTAACTAAATTTAGTATTATTTTTTGTTTTATGGTGTTTTGCCTTTTATGTATGTCTGTGCACCACCAAATGCCTGGTGCCCAAAGAGGCCAGAGAAGGTGTTGGATCCCCTCAAACTGGAGTTACAGATAATTGTGAGTCACCACGTGGGTGGTTGTGCCCTCTGGCAGTGCAGCCAGTGCTCTTAACACTCTCTCTTTTTTTTTTTTTTCTTTTTACATTTTCTGATTCTTTTTTTAAGTTGCTAAGTCTCAAGTTGCTCAGTATTACCAAGTAAATTTGTACTTTTTAACAGTGGTGATTTGCAAAGTGACTAGAAACCAGTCTTCCAGTATCTTTTCTTCCACAAACACAACCGTGTGTCTTCAGACCCACGGAATCTGATTCCTTCTTCTAATCAGGATGCTGCACTTAGACATACATACATGCAGGCAAAATACCCATACACAAGTTGAATTTTTCATGTGTAGTGGTTTTCCTTTTTTTGGGGGGGGGTGTATGTATGTGTGTGTTAGTGTATTTGAGACACTATCTGTGTAGTCCTGGCTGGCCTGGAACTCTGTGTAGACCAGCCTGGCCTCCAAATGCACAGAGATCCACCTGCTTCTGCCTCTGAAGTGTTGGCATGCATGACCATTCCTGGCCATGTTTTCTTTTTTAATTAAGAAGCTTTTTGTTTGTTTGTTTTTTACTACTTTAGTGTTCTTGGAATACTTGTTCTTCTTTCAGAGGACCAAAGCTATACAGTCAGAACTATACAGTCAAATCAGAATCTCTGTTAATGTTCATTATATTCTTTATCAGATCAACCAAATGTTTGGAGGGGCTCAGCCACCCCCAGGGCAAGTAATAGTAGTAATATGGAGCTCTTCCCTAACTGAGGCCAGCACAGATTGCCCTCCCTTGCTATTCTGAATGTTCACTGTTTTTTCAATCGTTTCTAGGGTTAATTGCAATGTCGAGGACTGGGTTAGCCTAAATTCTGTCTAAACTATTGGAAGGGCATTTGCTTTCAAGTGTTTCTTCTTACATTTCCATCATGGGTTTAGTGGGTTTGATTCATTGGTTTGGTTTCTTAAGTCCAAGTGTAGACCAAGCTGACCTAATTTGTAAATTTCTTGTCTTAACCATTTAAGTGCTGGGATTCCAGGTGTGTGCCTCTTTGCCCAAATTTCTCCTTGGTTATTATTGGTATGGTCAGACTTTTGTTTGTTTTCTTTTAGGGGTTTCAGAGTTGAAATACAGACAGAGTCTTTGTTTGGCCTTGAACTTAAGGCAGTCCTCCTATTTCTGTGTTCTGCGATTATAGGCATGTGCCACCATCCTCAGACTTTGTTTAGACTTGATACCAGAACGTTTCTGTCATTACTGTTTTTTAGACAACTTCATCAGCCTTGAAAGGTGCCATCCAGTTAGGCATTACCCACACTGTGGGCAGCCTGAGTACCAAGCCTGAGCGAGATGTCCTCATGCAAGACTTCTACGTGGTGGAGAGTATCTTCTTTCCCAGGTACAGAGGTCAATTCATATTTAAGAGAGTATCCTAGACAGTCGGACTTTCTTTTTTTTTTTTTTTTTTTTTTTTTTTTTTTTTTTTGGTTTTTTCGAGACAGGGTTTCTCTGTGTAGCTTTGCGCCTTTCCTGGGACTCACTTGGTAGCCCAGGCTGGCCTCGAACTCACAGAGATCCGCCTGGCTCTGCCTCCCGAGTGCTGGGATTAAAGGCGTGCGCCACCACCGCCCGGCAGGACTTTCTTTACATCAATCTTGGGGCTCTAGTCTAATTTCTTGTCAGTCTTGAACCTTCTTGTAAATAGGGTAAGTGAGATTAGAGAGCAGGCTTTGCCATATGCCTCTGGCCAATAGAACGCCATATATAAAAACAAACAAACAACTTATTTAGGCTAGTGAGATGGCTTAGCAGATAAAGATAAAGCCTAACAACCTGAGTTTGATCCCCATGATGGGGATAATTGAATCCTGCAGGTTTTCCTCTGACTTAACACATGTACCAAGGCATGTATGCTTGGGTGCACACTCGTGCATACACTCTCTCTCCTTTCTCTCTCTCTCTCTCTCTCTCTCTCTCTCTCTTTCTTTCTCTCTCTCTCAGAATAAATGTAATCTAAAAGGTTTCAGAGCTGGATAAGATGGCTCAGTGGTTTAGAGCACCTGCTGCTTTTTCAAAAGACCTAGGTTCATTTCCTGGCACCCAAATTTTGGCTCACAACCATTTGTAACTGTAGTTCCAAAGGATCTGACACTTTCTTGGCCTCCAAAACCACCAGGCATATATATGGTTCATAGACATGCATGCAGGCAAAACATTCATACATACAGAATTAGCTATGTTTGGTAGTGCCTGTAATCCCACCATTTGTGAGCAGAAACAAATTGATCTCTGTTAGTTTGAAGCCAGTCCTGGCTACATAGTGAGACCCTCTCTCAAACAAACAAACAAACAAACAAACAAAAGCTTTTAAATATCTTAATGCCTTGGCTAGGAGGCAGTGTTGTGCCTTTGTCCCACAAACTGACTTATCTTCATCCCTGCTGTGTCTCTCAGAAGTATGGTTGGGCATCCCTTTCAGCATCTGCCCAGGGTGGATTCCATGGGTAATGGGGTCTAGTAAGTTAAGGTTTCTTTATATTCAATCCCACAGTGAAGGGAGCAACCTGACACCAGCTCATCATTACAATGACTTTCGTTTCAAGACTTATGCACCTGTTGCCTTCCGCTACTTTAGAGAGCTATTTGGCATCCGACCTGATGATTACTTGGTAAGTTTCTTGTCGTAGAACCTGTGATTATAAGGTCAGAGGAATATTCCACAAAGTATTTCCCTCTTCCACCATCTTGCTTTAGTGTTGTTTAGAATGGATGTTTGTCTGTGCCTGATTTCTGTGATAGGCGGCCCTGGCATAACTGACTCTTAATGTCCTCTCTTATTTTCAGTACTCCCTTTGCAGTGAACCATTGATTGAACTCTCCAACTCTGGAGCTAGTGGTTCCCTCTTCTATGTGTCCAGTGATGATGAGTTCATCATTAAGACAGTCCAGCATAAAGAAGCAGAATTTCTGCAGAAGTTACTTCCGGGATACTACATGGTGAGTGAGGAGCGCTGGCAGAGGCTATCCTCAGCTGTACCGGTCTTTGTGTCTTCATGTTGGGGTTTGAGTTTATTTAGAGGTCAAAGTCAAGACAGACGATTTTTTTGGTGCTTTGGGTTTTGAGACAGTATCTTCCCTGCTGCCCTTGAACTACTGATCATCCAGCTTCTGCCTCCCAAGTACTGGAATTACATGTGTGCCGCCACCGCGCTGGGTGTAAGTGGTGCTGAGCATTGAACCCTAGGCTTTGTGAATGCTGAGCTAGCACTCTTTCTGATGTGTTTGTTTGTTTTGAGACTGGATCTTCCTGTGTAGCCCAAAGCCATTCCTGAATCTCCTGCCTCTGACTCTGTGGTATCGGGATTATCAGTGGCCATCACCATGCCTGCGTTAATACTGTTTTCTCTTTAAACTCTCTTAGATGCCAGGGGAAATTTTGAACAAATATGTAGTTCAACACATTTTACCTAAATCCCTTGTAAAGCAGAGGAACAGTGGGTAGCAACTTTTGCCTTGAGTTTCATTGAGAATCAGCTAACTTGCTCTACTGCTTCTTACTTTTATGCCTTAGAATCTTAACCAAAACCCTCGAACTTTGCTGCCTAAATTCTATGGACTGTACTGTGTGCAAGCAGGCGGCAAGAACATACGAATTGTGGTGATGAACAACCTCTTGCCTCGGTCAGTCAAAATGCACATGAAATATGATCTGAAGGGCTCAACTTACAAACGGCGAGCTTCTCAGAAGGAACGAGAGAAGCTGCTCCCCACCTTTAAAGACCTGGACTTCCTGCAAGATATCCCGGATGGTCTGTTTTTAGATGCTGACATGTACAGTGCTCTGTGTAAGACTCTGCAGCGCGACTGTTTGGTGAGTTGCTGTTTTTCTCTGTTGTAGACACAGAAATAATTTTCATTGAAAAACTCCCTGTGTCCTGCTTTAATTTATTTGTTTGTTTATTTTGGGGAGTATGTATGTATATGTGTGTGAGGGGTACAGTTGCACTTTGCCATGTACAGCACAGTTGAGCAGGGGTGCTGTCACTTAGGTATGAGTGTGTGCTTCCTGTGTAGAGGCCAGAGGTCAGCACTGGGTGTCTTCTTGATGGCACTCCACCTTATTTTCTGAGACAAAGTCTCTCACTGAACTAGAGCTCACCATTTCAGCTAAACTGGCTGACTAACCCATGAGATCTGCCTATGCCTTCCCCCACAGTGCTGGGGTTACAAATGTGCACTGTCATGCCCTGCTTTTATGTGGGTGCTGGGGACCCAAACTCCGCTCCACATGTTTGTGCAGCAAGCACTTTTCCCACTGAGTTTCTTCTCCACCCCCAGATTGCATTTTAGATGACTTTTACATTCGCTCATTGCTGGTCCTTTACTGTGGTGGTATTGTGTTCCCCGAAATATTGTGCACCCTAATAAACTTACCTGGGGTCAGAGACAGAACAGCCACAATATTAAACATAGAGGATAGACAGTGGTGGCACATGCCTTTAATCCTAGCATTCCAGAGGCAGAAATCCATGTGTTCAAGGATACAGCCACGCATAGTAATTCACGCCTTTAATCCCAGAAAGTGAGCCTTTAATCCCAGGGAGTGAGGCAGAAAGCTAAAAGATCTATAAGGCGTGAGGACCAGAAACTAGAAGCATTTGGCTGGTTAAGCATTTGGCTGGTTAAGCATTTGGCCTCGTTAAGCATTCAGGCTTTTGAGCAGCAATTCAGCTGAGACCCATTCTGGATGAGGACTCAGAAGCCTCCAGTCTGAGGAAACAAGACCAGCTGAGGATCCGGTGAGGTGAGGTAGCTGTGGCTTGTTGATTTTCCAGTGTCCACCCCGATAACTGGCCTCAGGTTTGATTTTATTAATAAGAACTTTTAAGATTCCTGCTACACTTTACATCTTTGCTCTTGTCATTTACCCTCCGCTCCTGGGCTGTAGTCCTTGTGAAGCAAGCCTAGCACTCATAGGAGAACTTTAACTTAGTTGTACTACACAGCCATTATTCCTTAGATTTTGGTCTTGCCTGCCCAATCCAAATTTATATCTTGAAAATTTAAATGCTGTTGAACACTACACAACTGCACACCGGATCTGCTGATTTGTAATATATTTGTAGACCAGTGGTTCTCAACCTTCCTAATGCTTTGACCCTTTAATACACTCATGTGTGGTGACCTCCAACCATAAACTATTTTTGTTGCTGCTTCATAACTATAATTTTGCTACTGTTGTGACTCTTACTGTAAATATCTGTGTTTTCCCATGGTCTTAGGCGACCCCTGTGAAAGGGCCATTCAACCTCCTCAAGTGGTCGTGACCCATAGGTCCAGAACCACTTGACTAGACCATCAGTTTTACTCATTCCATTTCCTCTTCTTCCCAGTGAGCATTTCATTGCCTCTAACCTCCAGCAGTTCTTCTTGACTCTGTTTCCCTAGTTTGGGGATTACAAGTAAAAGCCATTATGCCCAATTTTCTAAACCTCGCTTTCTCTTCCCCTAATCCAGTCTCTCTTGGTTTTTTGAGACGGGGTTTCTCTGTGTAGCCCTGGATGTCTTGGAATTAACTCTGTAGACCAGGGTAGCCTAGAACTCAGAGATCCACTAGCTCTGCCTCCCAAGTGCTGCGACTAGAGGTGTGCACCGCCATGCCTGTCCCTAAACCACACTCTCAGCCCGCCTCTCTCCAGCCTGTTTCTCAGCAGTGACTGGAGCGCCCCATCCTGTTCTGCCCTTGTGTTGCCGTGTGCTCGCCCTTATTTGCTCACACTGGGTTGCTTCCTCAACGATGCCCATTTTAGTCTGTCTCCTTCAGTGTACTCAACTAAATGAGCCAATAGTTATTTCCAGTTTGACTCAGGCAGTTGTAGCTAGCCACTCCTCATCCTTTTTTGTACACACTGATCATGGCACCCTTGGTTGAACAGCATCGTCAGAATGAGCTGTGGGAGCTGATGTGAGTAGACGCTTTCACTTTGTTCTAGGGAACAAAACAGGTTAACAGGTTGAATGTGCTTCTTGCTCTAGACTTTTTTTGTTTTTGTTTTTGTTTTTTCAAGACAGGGTTTCTCTGTATAGTTTTGGAGCGTGTAGACCAGGCTGGCCTCAAACTCACAGAGATCTGCCTGGCTCTGCCTCCCCAGTGCTGGGATTAAAGGCATGCGCCACCACCACCCGGCCTTGCTCTAGGCTTTATAATGGTCTTTTCTCACTTTATTTACTTGGTCTTACTTTTTTTTTTTTGAGACAGGGTTTCTCTCTAGCCCTGGCTGCCCTGGAACTCTCTCTGTAGACCAGGCTGGCCTCAAAATCCAATTGCCTCTGCCTCCCAAGTGCTAGGATTAAAGGTGTGCACCGTCACTGCCCAACTCAGTGATCTTCTTTTTTATCATTTTCTGTGGTCTTTATCGTGTAAACATTTGTACTGTAGTGCTGTATTGAACTTGTTTCTGTATTTTTATTCAGTAAAGGTTGAACGAAACTGAGGCTGACTGTGTAAAGTCCTGCCACAGATCTGCTCTGGCCCACATCTGTCACAGTGTACTTTTTTCCCCTTGTTGTTTTTGTTTTGTTTTGGTTTTTTGAGATTGGGTCTCAGGTAGCCCGGCGAGTGATGTGTTCTTTAAGAGCAAAGACAGCCTATGGTTGTCTGGAGCTTCACTGTCTAGTTAGGTTATGAAAGTGGTGAGAACTTGAAAACTCAGATTTTGATCGTCTTGTCCTCTCTCCCCATTAGGTGCTACAGAGCTTCAAGATAATGGACTATAGCCTCCTGATGTCAATCCACAACATGGATCATGCACAGCGAGAGCCCGTGAACAATGAAGCACAGTACTCAGTTGACACCCGCAGACCAGCCCCCCAGAAGGCGCTCTATTCCACAGCTATGGAATCCATTCAGGGCGAGGCTCGGCGGGGTGGCACTGTGGAGACTGAGGACCAGTGAGTGGGCTTGGGGCCACAGCTGTCGCACATGTTCTCACAGTACTTCTCTTGAAGGCACCTGGCTTCTGGAAAAGAGTCGCTTTGATTTCGGAGTGAGGCCAGCAGCATTAGTGCTCATGGGGCCATTGACTGGTCTTTTATTAAAGAAAGGAAAATATCTAAGATGAAATGTTAACACTTCAAAGCTGTAAATCACGTTAGGTTTTGTGTGGTTTGTTTTTTGTTTTTTGAGACAGGGTTTCTGTATAGCTCTGGCTGTCCTGAAACTCCCTCTGTAGACCACGCTGGCCTCAAACTCAGTGATCCCCCTGCCTCTTCTGGGATTAAAGGTCTGGGCCACCACCATCCAGTTCACATTAGAACTTTTATCACAGCTTACTGTAGGCTTCTTTGCTGAAGGCCTGTTACTGCCTTGGGTTTATCCAATGACTGTGGTTACTAAGTTTCAGATGTTTCATTTTTTTAGGTGTCTTGTAACATGACTGCCAAGGAAGTTATCTTAGTGGGAACAAATAAAGATACAAAAGTACCAGCATGTTCATTTTTATTTGGGGACTGGTCCCAAAATTACTGAGTAGTCATGATTTCAGTCTCTTTGATGGAGCTATGTGAGACAAGTACAAGGCAATTATCATACATGATCCAGAGGGGTTCTTTGTCTGTCTGGAGGATGTGTCAGTTATATTTAGCTATTAGTTCCATGTCCAGGTTTGACTGGAGGTTAGAAGTCTCCACCTGCTAGTGTGCAGATTTTTCTAACTCTTTTCCTTTTGTTTTCCTCAGCATGGGTGGCATCCCTGCCCGGAATAACAAAGGGGAAAGGCTCCTGCTTTATATTGGCATCATTGATATTCTGCAGTCTTACAGGTGAGGGTGATGGACATGTGGATTGCAGACTGGGGACAGGCTACATTGAGCTGTGGTTGCTCAAGGCTTTTTTTCCCCCTCCCTCCTTTTGGCTTTTTGAGACAGGGTTTCTCTTTGTAGCCCTGGCTGTCCTGGAACTTCCTCTGTAGACCAGGCTGGCCTCTGCCTCTTGAGTGCTGAGATTGAAGGTGTGCACCACCACTGCCCTGGCCTTCCTTTCTTTTTTTATTCCCGCCCCCCCTCATTTTAGAGTGTTTTGCCGTTGTCTATATGTGTGCACCACTTGAATGTCTGGTGCCCATGGAGGTCAGAGGAGGGTGTTGGATCCCCTAGGACTGGAGTAAGGCATCATGGGGATTCTGGGAACTGAACCCAGGCCTTCTGCAAGGGCAACAAGTGCTCTTACCTGCTGAGCTGTCTGGCCAGTCCTCAACATACATCTTTTTAGATGTGTTCTTTTTCTTTCCTGGAACTCCCTCTATAGACCAGGCTGGCCTCAAACTCAGAGGTCCGCCTCCCTCTGCCTCTCAAGAGATGGGATTAAAGGCGTGCGCCACTTCCGCCTGGCTTAGATGTGTTTTTTGTAAAGTTCTTCACGATGCAAGAACTGTGAGTCGCAGTCTGGTCACCTCGAGCTTTTAGGTGCTTTGTTCCCTGGTTTTTCTGGATTGCCGCCTCTTCAACACGATACATATTTTCTGTGGAATACTGAGTCAGTCCTCAGACGCCTAGGGTGGAGCACTCCATCTGCCTTGACTCGCTGAGAAACCTGTAGGTTGAGTCATCTTCCGTAGAGGGAGGCAGCTGGAGGCACATTCTGACTCCACGAAGGAGAAGTCAGAGCTCTGTATTATGTAAAATGACCGGCCTCTGGCAGGGAAGTGGGGATGGGAGGAGCCGCAAATGGTAGGCTCCATTTCGTTCCTGACACACTGCAGCTCCTGCCGTGGGCTGACAGGGACTGGTCAGTATTTGATTTACTGGTTACTACCACTGAACTTTCTTACACTTAGCTGTCTGTTGTGTGTGTTTGTGTATGTCTAGGCTGCAGTGGGCATGTGGAGGTCAGAGGACAATTTGTGGGAGTCGGTTCTCTCCATCTTGTGGATTCTGGGGGTTAAACTCAGGTCATCAGATAGGCAGGCACCTATACCCACTGAGCCACCCCGCCAGCCCTCTTACCCAAGTGAGGCTGTACTTCTCCGCCTTACCCTTCTATTCCTTTAGCTTTCTTTTCTTTTTCTCTTCTGATTTGTTGTTTGTTCTGGGTTTGGTTTTGTTTTTCAGACAAGGTCTCACAGTGTAGCCCAGGCAGACCTGGAGCTCATGGCAACCCCCAGACCCAGTCTATCGAGTGCTTGGTTGCAGGCATGTGCTACTACCTTACCCTGCCTTTCCTTTACAGTTAATTAATTTCGTTTTGCTTTGCTGTGCTTTTCTAGCAGTTGAACCCAGGGCCTCATACATGTTGGCAAGTGTTTCATTACTGAACTGTCCTGCTTATTTAATTGGCTTAGCTAGAAGTAGCATTGGTCTCCATGTGGAATAAGTACTACCATGGTAGTTCTTTGGAAAGCCAGTATACCACAGTGGGTGTATTTGCCCAGTGTTTATCTGTTTAAGGTTTTCTGTTATCATGGCCCCTTTTTAGCCCTCTAAAGTATAAGTAGTCATAATGATCTTTCATTTAAAAATTGTGTGATGCGGGGCTGGAGAGATGGCTCAGAGGTTAAGAGCACTGACTGCTCTTCCAGAGGTCCTGAGTTCAATTCCCAGCAACCACATGGTGGCTCACAACCACCTGTAATGAGATCTGGCGCCTCTTCTGTATGCATAATAAATAAATAAATCTTTTAAAAAAAAATTGTGTGATGCACATTTTCTTGGCAGGTTTGTGAAGAAGTTGGAGCACTCTTGGAAAGCACTGGTACACGATGGGGTGAGTATGCAGTCAGCTGAAGGCCTCCCCCCACCTCTCCGTTCCTGCCATTTGCTCCTCACATGTGTGCATGCATTCTGTCTGCGGAGTATCCGTTTCATTTCTGGCGGGTTTCAGTGTAAGGACAGGCCCGTGGAGGACACAGCCTCCTGCCGGGCCTCTGTGTAACTCTGCAGTCATCTCCTCTCTTCACCAGGACACAGTGTCAGTGCATCGGCCAGGCTTCTATGCTGAGCGGTTCCAGCGCTTCATGTGCAACACAGTGTTCAAGAAGATTCCCTGTAAGTGGCTTCTTCCAGATGACCCCCAGTGGCTCCCTTCCCCCAGGACATGGTGGGCAGGACACCTCTGTCAGGGAGCTGCCAAGGCCAGCGGCCTCTCCTGCTCTGCCTCCGTCCTGTGAGCGCTGCTTCTCGTCCTTTGTCAGCCCCTGTCTGTCCCGTGTCCGAGTCGCTGCTCCCCCCTGGCTCTCCCTCCATGTCTCGTCGAGGTGAGGGCTACTTCTGGGGAGTTGGTGGGACTGGAAAAAAATGTGTAGCTGTCGCTGTAGACTGTGATGCAGGCTCAGGCTCTAAAGGCAGACTTGTGTGTAGAAAGAGGGGCGAGGTGTTCCGGCGCCCTTCTTACCTTCCCTATCGGGCCAGGAGGTGTCGGGTAGGTCACGTGGTTGAGCGGTGTAGACGACTGTTGAGGGAGGTTTCAGTCTTAGCCCTCAGCGTTCCAGACGCAGAAGTACCAGTGTTCTTTTTTAAACTTGGTGCCTTTGGACCCTGGCAGGTTCAGGGTCATCCTCCTTTGCTGACGTCATAGGCACCAGTTGTCCCTTGGGGAGGTGAAGAAGGCGTAGATCATAGACAGGCTGTGAGGCCTAGCAGTCTCTGTTTTCAAAGGGAAGCACCAGCGTCGATTGCAGTGCACTAAGAAGGGTGGGGACACGTCGTCTGTAGCTTTTACTGGTCACGTTAATAAAGGACAGGTACACTCCATCGGTGGAATCCCAGCAGAAGGCAGTGATTTGTCACTTCTTAAGTTTTCCGTTTCTTTCCAAAGTGAGTGACTTGACCCTTGTCTGAGCAGTCCTGTAGGCCACCTTTGCTGACATTAACCCATTTCTGCCTTTGCTTCAGAACGACTTTGTGTGTGTTGGGGTGCTAGCAGCTGGTGTCTGTCTTGGTGACGGTTTCTGAGGGGGGTGCTAAGTAGACTCTCTCTCTCCCTTTTGAAGTGAAGCCTTCTCCTTCCAAAAAGTTTCGGCCTGGCTCGTCTTTCTCTCGGCGATCAGGCCCCAGCGGCAACTCGTGCATTACTTACCAGCCATCGGTCTCTGGGGAACACAGAGCACAAGTGACAACCAAGGCGGAAGTGGAGCCAGGTCAGCCCCAGGGCTGGGTCCCCTGCGTCTGGATACCCCCCCCTCCCTTCTTTGGAGCGCGTAGGTTCTCTGGCCAGGACCTCGGCTCCCTCTTCCTATGCAGTCAAAACTAACTTGCTGACTTGTCTTGAGTTTTTTGTTTTTGTTTTTTACTTCTGAGAATAGGGTTCTCTGTGTAGCCCTGGCTGTCCTGGAATTCACTATAGACCAGGCTGGTCTCGAACTCAGAGATCCTCCTGAGTCTGCCTCCCGAGTGCTGAGACCAAAGGCAAGTGCCACCATACCCAGCTGTTTGTTTGGAGACAGGGTCACACTATGTAGCCCAGGATCTCCTGGAAATAACTGTGTATGTAGCCAAGCTGACCTCAACCTCATGACCCTCCTTTCTCAGCCTCCTAAGTACTAGGATTACAGGAGTGAGTCCCCATACCCCTCTAAGTCACTACATTTTCCCTGTGTTTCCTGACTTACCTGACAAGACTCCATTTTTTGATTCATTCCTTGTTTATCAATTGATTGTCTTTTTTCTCCAGATGTGCACCTTGGGCGTCCTGATGTCTTACCTCAGACTCCACCTTTGGAGGAGATCAGTGAGGGCTCACCTGTTCCTGGCCCCAGTTTCTCACCTGCAGTTGGAGAACCTTTGCAGATACTAAATTTGAGGTTGGTTTCTTAGCCTGTTACTCCATATAACCTCTTTTAGGTCTCAGAAATCTTCATTTTGACATTTTCAAGAGCCTATGCTGGGTGTTGTGGTGTGCTAGGGAGGCAGTGACAGGTAGATCTCAGAGTTCAAAGCCAGCCTGAGCTACCTAGTGAGTTCCAGGACAGCCAGGACTATAGAGAGGCCCTATCTCCAAAGAAAGAGAGGGGGTAGGGGGGAAAAAAAGAGAGAGTTTATTGTTTGGTTGGTGGTTGTGAGACCGTCTCACTGAATAGCCCACACTGACCTCAGATGTGCAGTCCTTCTGTATCAGTCTCCTGTGTCCTGTAGTCAGGTGCTACCACCCTGTCAGCAGTCAAAGCATTCAAGAGGCTAGTATAGTAATCATGACTTCATTTTGTTACCTAGTATGTTATCTATTCCATCACAATAAATTACTTCCATACTTAATGGCTTAAAATAAGAAACATAACTGGGTGTTGTGGGACATACCTTACATCCTCTCACTAAAGAGTTAGAGATTGTAAGATGGGAATTCAGAGCCAGCTTGGCCTGTATGAGACCTGGTCTCAAAACAAACAAAGCTAAACAAAAACCTATGTCATAGTTTCTTGGGTTAGGAATCCAGAGCTAAGATTTCTCAGGAGATGGTAATGAAACTGTTGGCCAGGAATAGGATCCTGTCCTCAAGTGGAAGAATTTCTTTCTAAGCTCATTGATATGGTTAGTGGTGTGACTTGGTTCCTTGCTGAGGCAAGACTAAAGACAGCCCTCTGTTTGCCCTATGGGTTCTCCACTGAGCAACTCAGAACATAGCTCCTAGCTTCTCTGTCAGTGTGAGTGAGAGAGGTGTCTCTACATAGAAACTGGACCTACATAGAAACCATATATAGAATTATTATTTTTTTTTACATTTGTTTTGTTTTTAAGAGACATGGTTTCTCTGTGTAACAGTCCTGGCTGGTTTGAAATTTACTCTGTAGACCAGGCTGGCCTCTAACTGACAGAGATCCACCTGCCTCTGCCTCCCACGTGGTAGGATTAAAGGCGTGCACCACCACTGCCCAGTGAGACTATAGAATTTTTGTTTTGTTTTGTTTTTCGAGACAGGGTTTCTCTTTGTAGCTCTAGCTGTCTTGAACTTGCTTTGTAGACCAGGCTGGCCTTGAACTCACCGAGATCTGCCTGCCTCTGCTCCCAAGGGCTGAGGTTAAAAGTGTGCGCCACCACTGCCTGGCTGACTGTAGAATTCTTTATACCTATTCTTAGAATTGGTAGGATGCTATCACCCATGCTACATTTCCCTTAATGACTCAAGGCTGTGACTGCTGGCAGCAGGGATCACTGGGGGCTGTCTGCTTTCCACCGGCCATGGTGCCTTACTTGTAGTTGCCTGTAATCAGAGCACTCTGGGGGTTTACACTCAAGCACAGCGGTACAGGAGTGTGGGACCGGCCTGGTTTTGAGTGGCTCCCTGGGAGCAGTTTCATAAGCACTGCTCCTCAAGTTCTCCTCCTCTTACACTATGGACCTGTGGTCTAAAAGGAGGAGTTATCGTCTCCTCTTAAGCCATCCTACGGTGGATGGGCACTGCAAATGCTGTATACATTGCTTTCAACTGTGAGAAGTCAGGGACAGGAGGGATTGTTCAGTGGTACAGCATTTCCCTAGCATAGCTGGGGCCCTGGGTTTTATCTTTAGTGCTGTACACAAAGAGAAAGGCACAGCGAGTCATTAGCTGTCCTACAGTCCAGGACTGTTGGTGTTTCTTCAGTTGGGTCTCAGAGTGTAGAAATCACTCTACAGAGTACGTGGTTTCACTTCACCTTTGGTCTTCCTGTTTCAGGAAAGCTAGAGTATATTTTCAGCTTTTTTTCCTTTTAAATAAAGGTTTATTTATTTTTTTATTTATTTTTATGTGCATTGGGTTTTTTCCTGCATGTATGTCTGTGAGGATGCCAGGTCCACTGGAAATGGAGTTACAAATAGTTGTGAACTGCTATGTGGGTGCTGGGAATTGAACCTGGGTCCATCTGGAAGAGCAGCAGTGCTTTTAGCTGCTGAGCCATCTCTCCAGGCCCTATTTTCAGCTTCTTTCTAGTAGAATTTGAAGGAGGATGTGTCCAATGGTCCCTTGTTTCAAATTTTATTTACAGTTATAAAGTTCAGCTTAGCATGGTAATGCCTTTAATTCTGACATTCAGGAGGCAGAAGGATCTTGAGTTCAAGGCCAGCCAGCACTATACAGTGAGACCCTGCCCCCCAGAAAACCTACAACTTTTATAAGAAATTTTAACTCTGTGTGTGTGTGCGCGCACATGTGTGCATGTGTGCAGTGCCTTTGCAAGCATGAAAGCTTGTTAACAGCCTCTAGTGATCTCTTGGTGTTGTTTTGTCTCATGCCCTTTTGGTTTAAGTTAGCACTGTTTCTGCTGCTGGTAGAATTCTAGCAAAGGGTCATTCCATTGTGTGACTCTTACTAGATTTTACTCCAGTAGATAAAATCCCTGTTCAATGATACCCTTTTTTTTTCTATCTTTTTTTTCTAATTGTTTTTACCTTTATTTTATGTGTATGAGTATTTTTGTCTCCATGTATGTCTGTGTACCATGTGCATGTCAAGTGCCACCGGGACTGAGCATTGGCTCCCCGGGAACTCGAGTTCCAGGTGGTTGTGAGTTGGGTAGGTGCTGGGAACTGAACTCGGGTCCTCTGCCAGTGCAGTAAGTGCTCTAATGACTGAGCCATCTCTCCAGCCCACAGATGCCTTCCTCATACTCCCTGTGCTTTAGAGTTACGAGTGTCTGTGAGACAAACTTGCAGCTTCTTCTGTTTGGTCTTTTTATTGGTACTTGAGGAGAGAACCCAGGCATTCATACATTACATCTGTATCTCACTCTTTGTTGTTGTTTGAGAAAAGGTCTCACTTAGGTAACTTTGACTAGCCTAGAATTTGCTATGTAGACCAGGCTGGCCTGGAACTCAGAGTCACCTGCCTCTGTCTCCTGAGTGTTGGGATTAAAGACATGTACCACCATGCCAAGCTTAGGCCTTTATTATTATTATTTTTTTTTTTTTTTAAGAAAAATTTCTATTCATTTTACATACCAATCACAGATCCCCCTCTCCTCCCTTCTCCCACCCCCCGGGCCTTTATTTTTTAATTTTAAATTTTCTTCACATTTATTTCTTTGGAGGGGGCAGGCACACGTATGCCACACATTGTGGGTATCGGAGAATAGCCTTCCGTGTGGGTTCCAGGGGTCAAGCTTGCTGCTGGCAGACTCAAGCTTGCTGGCAAGCACTGTAGCCTGCCGAGCCGTCTAACCAGCCTTCTTTGTTGGCTTTTGAGATGCCTGACTCTGTAAAATAAGCTGGCCTAGTGCTTACAGCAATCCTCTCCATCAGCCTTCCCAGTACCAGTATTATAATGTGGGCACTACCCCTGGCTGAGGTACTTAAGTCTGAGGTCAAGACCTAGGCAGAGTAGACAAGATGGATAAGCACCATTGCCTCTGGGCTCCAGTACTACCACAGTACTACTGTTGGCCAGCGATACTCCATAGTTACTTGTCATTTCCTTTCTATAGCTAGTGTTCTTGAGAGCAAACAAAGAAAACCTTCATTCAAGAAGGAGCCACAACAGGCAGTGGTGGCACATGCCTTGGATCCATCCCAACACTCGGGAGGCAGAGGCAGGCGGATCTCTGTGAGTTCGAGATCCTAGGCTACAGAGGAGTTTGATCTTCAGAACCCATATAGTTTGGTCTTCAAACCCACATGGTATAAAGAGAGAACTGATTCTGTGGCCTGCCCTCTGACCCCCACAGTCATGCTGTGGCCTGTGCACACATATCCCAAATGCAAACAGTTGGCTGAGGGCACTGGCAATCTTATGGGGATCCTGAGAAAATTAAGAATTATGATCAAGTCCTGACTGGAATAGTCTGTGAGGCTGCATTGTCTGAGCCAGTTGCCTTGAAGCTGTTTTTGGATATTGAATCATCTGGGCCATCGTGTCATTGGAGACCTTTCAGGGGGTCTTAACTGATGAAACCATATTAGCCTGGAAGCAAGCCACGTCTCACCTCACCAACTCCATGAATTCTCTGACTGAATGTCTCTTTTAAGTTCTCAACCGAAAAGGGCCTCTAGCCGAAAAGGTTTTAATTCCTGTCTCCCCATGCCTTATATACCTTTCTCTGCCCAGTGATATTACTTCCTTACTAATGCCGGGATTAAAGGTATGTGCCAGGCTGGAGAGATGGCTCAGCAGTTAAGAGCACTGGCTGTTCTTCCAGAGGTCCTGAGTTCAATTCCCAGCAACCACGTGGTGGCTCACAACCATCTGTAATGAGATCTGGTGTCCTCTTCTGGCCTGCAGGCAGAATACTATGTACTAAATAAATAAATATTTAAAAAATAAAATAAGATAAAGGTGTGTGCCACCACTGCCTGGCTCTGTTTCTCTCCTAGACTGAGTCGATCTCATATAGTCCAGGGTGGCTTTAAACTCACAGAGATCCAGACGGATCTCAGCCTCCTGAGTACTAGGATTAAACATGTGTGCCACCACTGCCCAGCCTCTATGCTTAATTTAGCAGCTTGTTTTGTCCTCTGATGTTCAGATTTTATTAGGGTACACAATATACCAACCACAGGTTGTTTGTTAGACAATAGCTAGAATGCTAAGATTCACTTGCCTCTGACTCCTTGCTTGCTGGGGTTAAAGGTATATGCCATCACCCTGGGCCTTTGACTTTGTGTCTTGAAAACAGTGTCTCATAAGTATATCCAGAATAGCCTTGAGGTCACTCTGTAGCTAGACAGACCTTGAACTATCAAACCTCCTGCCTCAGCCTCCAAGTAGCTGGGATTATAGACATGCATCACCGTGTCTGGCTTAAATTTAGTAGCTTCTTAGGTTTTCTCTTCTGTGTTGTTAGTCTGTTCTTCAACCTTGGTGTAGGTTCCAGGAATCAAACTCAGGTTGCCAGGCTTGTGCAGCAAGCCCCTTATCCACTGAGCCATCTCTTCAGCCCAGTGGTGTTTTCTGAATCTTAAAAGAAACATGAAGAGGCAATATAATTGACCTTGGAGGATGTGCTGGGGGTGGAAGCCAGGGTTATACATGCTGTATGTCTGTTCTGCCACTTGAGCTACACCCATAGCACCTTTCATCTTCTAATCCTCTCTGCCTGCCTTTTTCTTTTTCTTCTCCTCCTGTTAGTTCCACCTTGGAAAAGCTTGAAGTTGCAGAGTCCGAGTTCACCCATGTGAGTATCTGCCTGAAAGTTGTAAAGTGGGTCACTGATGGGATGGAGCAAAAAAGCTGATTGGGAAGTATTAGTGTGCCCTTGAACCTGGCTTTTAAAAAATTGTGATCAGGCCGGGCGGTGGTGGCGCACGCCTTTAATCCCAGCACTTGGGAGGCAGAGCCAGGCGGATCACTGTGAGTTCGAGGCCAGCCTGGGCTACCAAGTGAGCTCCAGGAAAGGCGCAAAACTACGCAGAGAAACCCTGTCTCAAAAAAAGCCAAAAAAAAAAATTGTGATCAGGCATGATGGCACACATCTTGAATTCCAGTACTTGGAAGTCAGAGTTGAAGGCGTGTGCCACCCCCACCAGGCTTGTGGTTTTAAAACTTCATACATACTTGGAGCTGGACGTGGTGGCACACGTCTTTAATCCCAGCACTCGGGAGGCAGAGGCAGGCGGATCTTTGTGAGTTCGAGGCCAGCCTGGGCTACAGAGCGAGATCCAGGACAGCCAGATCTACACCGAGAAACCCTGCCTCAAAAAACAAACATAAAAAACAAAAACAACTTCATACTTTGGAAGTTGAAACTAAAAAGAGAAGGGAAAAAGTCAGTTTTGCTAGCTAGGATGAGAACCTTGAATTCCATTCCTGCCTCCTCGTCTCATGGTTGACTTTACATTCTTGCTCTTTTCAGTGAGCAGTGAGCCTCAGAAGACCTGAGACAAGACTCTACTGTCGCTTTGATCCCAAGATGTCAGCCCTTGCCCCGGGAATGCTGAGTCTTCTTCTTGGTCATCAGGAGAGGAGAGAAGCGTGGAGCTAGCAGAGCTCTCTAACCCGTCTCCCCTTGGCCGGGCACCAGTGCCTTCGACAGTTGAGGACAGCAGCGTCCCCACCACTCCAGATGGGTGGCATGAATCTTTCCTGGGTCAGTCATGGCTTCTGTGACTGAATATTTTCAAACCCCATTCTTCGTGCAGATGTGGGGCTGCTGGACAAGGTGATTTTCTTCTCTTCACCTTTTACCTGGAGCTGGACTCTTAACTTCCTCAGGACAGACTGGCTGGACATCGTTCCCACATTCGCTCTTCCCTCTGGTCTTTGAGAAGACCCCAGTGATTTTTATTATAAAGGTTTTCTGGGGGAGATTAAGGATGATCCTACTCCCAGCCTTCTTTCTTCCTTAAAAAAGGAAAAGAACAAACAGCACACGACCTAGAAGCTCTAGAGGGTTAGGAAGTGCCCTAGTGTTTGTGCAGCAGAAAGACTGTGACGTTCCTGCCGGCAGCTGCTCTCTCCCTACTCGGGGCTGAGGGGGTGGAGAGGGCATGGCCACCTGTACCCTTTGAGAAGACAGGGCAGCCATGCCAGGAGAGTAGACCTTCTTAGCAGGATTCTACTCACTGCCAGGTCACACAGTTACTATTTTGCAATTTGGAATGTATTCTAATAGTTTTTCTAAATATAAAGAATTATCAAATGATTTTAGACCATTCTCCAAAGGAGATTCCTTTGTTCTTCCCTTATTTTCCAACAGTATTCTGCTCTTTGTGGAGCTATGGTGGAGGGAGACATTTGTGTCTGTTTAACAGGCAGTCGTATCTATGAGGCTAGAGAATATTTTCTTAAACTTCGGGGGAGCTGCAGACTTCCCTCAGTAGGGTGATTGCCGTGCCCCCTGGCCTGCCCCCTGCTCTGTGTAGAGAAGCTGGAAGTGGGGTCTCGTGAGGCCTCTCCTCCTCTCAGGGTTGTGGTCCGTCTGGTCCTGGCCCGTACAGGGGCAGTACATGGTGTTTCAGGCAGGCTGTTGAAATCTCCTGTTGTTACTTCTCCAACCCATCCCACCTTGATAGCGAGTTAGCCTGTCCCCGTAACTGTCTATATTAGACGTCCCCGCCAGGTTCTGGCTGCCTGTCTTTGCTGCCATGTTCTTTTTTACAAGAAGGAAAGAAACAATTCTTGCTATTTTTTTCATAATTTACTATTTATGATGTATTTAAGTGTTTTATTCAGGACAGAGTTCTGTAAGGGGTGGGAGGGAATATCTGAGGGTGGGCTGGGACTTAGGGAGTGGACCTGGGGAGTCAACATTTTTATGGAGTGTTACTATTTGTCTCTACTTTGTATTGTTGAAAAATGACAAATGCAATATAAAAGAAATAAATACCTGGTTTTAATGTACTAAAATTGTATCAGTTATTTAGACCCATTTTTAAATATTTTGATTAGCCTGATAGTGATGGTTTTATTACATTTTCATACATGTAAATGAAGTACATGATCGTTCTCACCTCCCTTGTCACCCTTTCTGTCCCTTGTTGGGGTAGTTGTTGGTGCTGGGGTTAAACCCAGGAAGAAAGAACTTGGGCCTGACTGTTGAGCCTTCTTGGGTCTTTTCCACATCTCCTCTGCTCCAGCTCCCTCCTCCACCCAGGCTCGGTGTGGGTTAGAATGAGCAAAATCTTGAGCAGCCTTCCCATCCTTCAGCTGAAGTCTAACTCAGGCTGAGAGCAGGGGCTTCAGTTCCCATCAGAACAGTTTAAACTTGACGAAGAACTCTTGCAGAGATTGTAACTCGGTCTGTTTAACTCAAGGGTTTGAGAATCCAAAGCTCCGGATGAAGAGAAGAGGAAGAGGAAGGAGAGCAAGATGTCAGTTGGCCCTAGAAGGCCTTCTGACTAACCCGGAGGCTCCCTTAAGGAAAGCTCTTTCTGGGCTGGAGAGAGGAGTCCGGCTAAGAACACTGGTTGGTTAGTTCCTAGCACAGACAAGGGGCCTCACAACCCTCTGTAACTCTTATCACAAAGGGTCTGACACCCTCTTTTTGGCTCTGTAGATACCAAGCATGTATGTGATGCACATACAGGCAAACACTCATAAAATGCATCCCAAAAGATAATGGTGTAAATTTGCATTTAGGCTCTTCAATAGGAAAGTGAGCTGGGCTCATTTTAATGCCTGGAGATGGGGAAGCTTTTAAGAGTCAGATTTCATGTATTCGTGTGTGTGTGTGTGTGTGTGTGTGTGTGTG